AAAGAAAAAAACCCCGCTACAATTGGAGAAATTTGTCAGCAACAAAAAAAAAAATATATATATGTATATAGACTTGTCTATTCACCTGCAAATTGGAAATCCCAGCAGCACATATGACACCGAACATGATCAGAAACATCCCTCCGATGACAGGAGTGGGAATGGTGGTGAAGACGGCCCCAATTTTGCCCACCACTCCCATCAGAATCATGAGAAATCCACTCAGGAGAATCACAGTCCGACTACCCACCTGCCAACAAAGTGCGCGAAAAGGGGATTATTTTAAAGCCACTCTGTAAAAGCACCCGATCAGCGTTTTTCCTTTTTTGCACTTACCCTGGTGATACCGAGAGCCGCCACGTTCTCGCTGAAAGACGTGGTGCCATTGCCCGTCCCGAAGGCCCCTGCCAGCAAAGAGCCGATCCCTTCCACGCCGATGCCCCTGCTGATGGCGTGCCTCGGAGGAGGAGGCGCCCCCGACAACCTGGCGCAGGCGTGGTAGTCGCCCACAGACTCTGCCATGGAGCAGACTATTCCGGCCAGCATCCCAACCACAGCTGCCAGGTTCACGGTTGGAACCCCCCACCTGCCTGAAAGACAAGTCAAACTGTTGATCGCTGAATTGGTCTCGACCAATCAAACTGTGTTTTTTTGTTGTTTTCTTTTTAGTAAAGCTACGCACCGGGGTATGGCAGCGTGAACCAAGAGGCCTTGCTCACCACATTTCCCTTCACATCAGTGCGGGCCAGGTAACCGTAGCGAGCAGAATCAGACGGCAGGACATCAGATATGGTGAGGAGGTAACAGACTAACCACGAGATGGTGATGCCCAGCAGAATCTAATTGACATCTAAAATTAGTATGGATTAGAGCTCTGATGTCGACATTTTAGCCCCGAGTGACATGCGAATCACAGCAGGAGACGTCATACAGGCATGGTTTGGAAGATGTAAAACTTTGCGGTTTTCCTTTTCTTGTTTTTGCAGCACAAGGGAACAGGAATCGGTATGAGACGGAGGTACTGAGAGAACACGATGATCAGCCCCGTCGTCCTGTGAGTACGACAAAAGGAACAGAATAACATTCAAACTGTAAGCCAGTCCCGAGACAAGCAGATGCTGCTCTCCAAGTCGTAAAAACGCATCTTGAAGGAGAGACGTCATGTTCTGTCTTTTTGGAAATCCGAGCTCTTGAATTAAAGAGTTTTCTTTCCGAGGAGCTACTTACAAAGCAGAAATACCCCAGTGGCTGCCAGCTTTTACTCCCGCCGAGTCAAACAGAGCCAGGCCTATCAGAGACACGGTGGGGGCAATGGTTAAGGGCCCGATGAAGCGCATGAGGAACCCGATGAGGCCAGAGAAACCAACAAGAATCTGGAGGACAGAGGCCACCATAATGGAGCCCTGCAGCTGTGGACAGAAACACAAGAACCAGAAGCCTGAGCACTAACACTCTTAATAACGGCCACAACTTGTTATAGTTCCCCAGGGCAGGAAACACATGCAATGCCACGAAAGAGTACTCCTCTTTTTGTTTCTGTTTTTAGTTTGTTTGTTTTTTCATATTTTGTCACTTTAAACCCACAAAAGTGATCATATTTCATTTAGACCGTATGTGACAGACCGACACAAAGTAGCACGTCGTTATGAAGGTGGAGGAAAGGAATGATTTTCAAACGGTTTTGCTGTGCAGTTCTGAAAAGTGTGGTGTGCACATGCATTCAATCCCCTGCTAGTAAATAAAATCCATCCGCAATGGAGTCGGTTGTATCAGAATATGTTACCGAGAGAATCTGTGACTAGACTTGGAAATCACTCCTCAGACACACTCCATCCGATCCGACTTGACTTATTTTGCAAAGAAACAATTGGTAATGGGTATTCTAAATGCGCAAGTTGCCAGCTTTGCAGACGGAGTATCTGCGTTACAGAATGAAGCTGTTGGTGTTGGCTCACTGTTCTCATGCGGCCCTGCCACTCTTCGATAAAAGCAGGGGAGGAGGTGTTGACCAAGCTGGCATTCTGTGTCCAAGCCGGGCACTGCCACTCTGGCATAGACAACACGGCCATGGCTGGAGTCACCAAGGCAAACGTGCCTCCCTGCAGGATAGGAAGTCTCCAAGTTTGAAGAAGAAAACAAAAACAAATGAAAAGCAATGCAGTCTGCAGCAAAAGTCAAGCAGGTCACAACGCTACAAAGCAACAAGGTGTCATTTCGAACTTAAAGCTGTGGATTTTAATTATTTATTTATTTTTTTTTAGGAAAATTTGCATTTAGTTTATTAAAAAAGAGGGTCAACGCACTGTTGTTCTGGAACATTTCAGTCATTTTAGTGTGCACTTGTTTGAAACTTAACATGCCAATGTTTAACATGGACGTTTAACCATCTTTAGCATTGACTCATTCTACTGTAAACTTACTGGTTTACGCTATCTGGACAAAAACAGACGCAGTTGATCTGCTATTTAACTACAAAACATTCAAACACTTTGGACCTTTTCCCTCCCAAACCAGGAGTTCTCACCTGACACCAAAGGTGACCTGCAGAATGGTGCAGAGGCCCGAAACAAAGAATATGGTGTTGATCAGAAGGCCCTGGGTCAGGGTGTCATGCTGCAGACACAGACCCTCGGAGAGGATGAGGGGGATGGAAATGATCCCACCAAATGCCGTAAGGTAGTGCTGTGGAGGAGATAAAGATTAGCTTGACACACCTGCTGCCCTACGTTCCCTTTTCCCGTCATGCGTTCATCTCGCCTAGCAACCGCGTATCGAACCTCCCTAGCCTAAATACCTCCTGGTTCATTCGGTTCATGAGAAATCACTCTGCCGCTGTTTTCTGAGCCTCTGTCCGAGTAGCCTGTTGACATTTATGCTTCTTCTTTATTCAAATCTGGAGTTATCGTCACCTTCCCGACTTCATCTGCGCAATTTGTTCCCCCAAAGCCAGCAAACATCACCTAATCACATCTAGCCACTTTGGTTACCAGGCATTTCCTAAATTGCTGTTCCTCGAAAATAAAAGTACAGAAAGGAATAGCATGCATGAGTGAAGAAGGCCTCTACCTCAATGTTTTTTTGTTTGTTTTTTTTTTAAGTTTAAATCCATGAGTATGCAATCTACAAGAACATACCAGATTTGATGAATAGCTGAACTGACCTGGAGCCCATCGCTGACTGAAAACGAGACTATTTTTTGGTAACTAGTTCACTCCACCAGAAGGAAGTTAGTAGCTGATTTACCTTAATTCCCGTTAACTGCTTATGCAAACTGCCAACTAGTATTAAGGGTAAATTCCTTTACACCTCTTTGCGAACTATTACATGTCCCCTGTGTTTGTTGTAAAAATAATAAATTTTACTTATTTAACTTATAAATTATCTGATTTTTTTAACATACAGTGAGACTTGTTGCCTGCTGTGCTCCAGATTGCAGTACACCCACCTGAACAGCCAAGAAAATGCAAAGGTACCAAGGAGGGACATCAGTCACACAGTAGGTTGGTTTATTTCTGTCCTCCTCTGCCACACCGCTGCTCCAGCTAGGCTTCTCCTCCGGATCATGGATTTGCTCCTGCAACTGTAGTGCAACATCCAAAAAAAAAAAACAAAAAGCAAAAGAAAAAAACAAGCAGAATAAATTGTGAAGACTAAGAAATGACAAGGAATCACTTTTAACTAAGTCAAACGATTACTCACCTGTCAACTCTGCACTAAATCTACATTACTGTCATTTTTTTTTTTTGACACAAGCGTCAAAGCTTACTTGGAGACTCGAACACAGACACACGTTTACTGATATGTGCCCTAAATTTGTCACAACAGCATGTTACGTTTCCATGACCTGACAAAAAAGTGCGGATCCTAAAAGTGTACTGTGCCATTATTATGTGCGACAGAATTCAGAGATGCCTCTTTCAATATGTTTAAAGGAGCGAAGAAGTTGTTTTTAAAGTAAAAAAAAAAAAAAAAAAAAACTTTAAAAAGTAGACTTTTTGAATCAATAAATCCTTGTAGATTTTGAACATAGAGCACAGTACATTTATGAAGCTTGTGCATCGCTAAAGTTTCCTTGAGGAGGTTAATAGAACGTCTATGGAAGTATAAATCTTCATCTTTGTAAAGCTATGCTCACAAACATATATGGAAAAACTATAAATACGTACATGTGAACAAAAAGCTCTTGGTTTTACATGAAGTAGTGACTGTACTCACATCAAATCCCAGGTTGTCATGTCCTTTGCTTTTCTTCACTGAATCCATCGCAATCGAACCAAAAACTGTTGGAGGAAGTAGTCAATAAAGTGATTCTGTGAAAAGAGAGTCTCTTCTGTTCTCTCCCATTACCCAGGTGTTCATCGGCGTGCTCTCATCCCAGGAAAAAACTAAACAAAAAAACCCACAGACACACACACGCGCTTGATCACAGATTCTCAAAATCATTAACAGATCCACCTCAGCTACATGATCTCAGCGGGACAAACCGGTGCAAGTCTTTCACCTTCCTTATCTCCCACCAACTCGCAGGGAGGGACAGCGTTCCCATTTCAAACATGGCATGCAACACTTTGAAGGAAGTTTAAAAGTGGAACCGTCTTAAAATAGGTGTTAAATCTAAGCAGTCGATTTCAAACCTCAAAAACTGCGGGATTCGTTTTGCTTTTCTGCAAAGAGATAAAGTAAAACACAAGAGGCAACCTTTGACATCGATAGGTTTATACGCCGGTGAGTCAACGGGGGGAGGGGAGCTGTAAAGTTGTTTTGTTTTTACTGGGACTTATATTGGAACGATCCCAAGTTATGTTTTTTTTTTTTTTATCTTGGAGCTAAACTGTTACTCATTTTTACAACTCTGTCGAATTCACAAGACAGATTCTTGGGTCTGGTTTACGACCGCTGATAAGTTGTTAGAGGAAATGAGGATCCTTGGGCACAGTTACAACAACACAGATTAGTTTTAATCAGATTCCTATCTGAGCCAAAACATCACCCTGAATCCACCGTCCCCATGGTAACACATTGTGGTGGCAGCATCATGCTGTCCTGAAAAAAACAAAAAACAATCGATAAGACAACAGCTCAATTCCATCTAGTTGTAATTTGTAAAAGGTGATTTTATAATATATACACCCTGGGGAGCTGAACATAAATTCCTTTGAATAACCTTAAATTGATCCGATTTGCTTCAACATAAAAATGTAAAAACCTTCCAAAACAGGCAGAACACTTTTCTTTGCATGTTTAAATCATAAGATCTCTGCTGTGTGCAACTTCCTGTGGGCACTTAGGTAAACTTCAGGTCACAAAATCCGACGCCTGGATGTTTTCTGAAGCATATTTCAGTGCAGTCCACGGGGGGAGTCGTGCACACTCACCTTTTCTCGCTGATCTGGGTTAACAACAGCGGAAGACAGAACACCACGGGCCAAGAGCAGGTCAGAGTGACATGAATTATTCGGGCAGACGTGCAGCAACACACACGTGACACCTGCACTGCTTAGTGCCTTGCAGCACTCTCTGCTCACATTAGCCCACCTATCGTTGTGTTTTTACTTACAAAGTTCTTGTTGATCCTGCATGTTGAGAGTCATTAATATTCCAAGTGAAAGTCTTTGCAGCACACTAAGCTCTAATGTCTCTCGCTGCAGTGCAGCACATCATTAACCATGGGCAACATTTTTTTTTTTTTTTTAAACAATGTAGCCATATCATTTCGCAGCCAAACGGCAGCTTAGTTTGTTACATTTAAGGTTTGTAGCAGTGTACCAGTAAGAAGTGCTCTTTTTTTTTTTTTTTTAAAGCAATCGCGTTCATTAAAACAAACTGCAGTGTGCCTCCTAATCTACTGTTTCCTGAACATTAAGAGCAGCAGTGTATCTCCTGCTTGTGTAACAACAGAAAGTACTTTTCTAATAATGCGATTCTGCAGCATTTGGTGCTGCAGAGGTCTGTTAATCACCCACAGATTGAAGCCAGGTGTGTGTCAGAAGCTGAAACATGCGAGGCTATGGAGGCCTGAGGACCAGAATTGAGAAACTCTGCCTTTAACCTAAGCAAAACCCAGACATACCTTTCCTTAAAATACAGCTAATTTATAACTTTTCCTATATTCTAAAGCCAGAAAAGGTCACAGAAAGTCAAACAGACAAGTAAACACACAAAGGAGAGAAACAACAGCTTCTCTCTAAAGTAGAAAAGACAGGTGTAAACATGTAACTCTGGAAAGTATGCAAACCCTCATTGCATATGTACAATTAACAAATAAAATGAATCAATTCAGGCCGTTCTGTGAATGTACTCGCCCACCACCAAGTATACTGAAGGTTTACAGTGTAATTGTCACAAGAAAAAATAAATAAAATCATTCCCTTTCAGCTATGAGTCATCACTCATACGCTGACATGTTTTTTTTTTTTTGGCAAAGGTCTGAACAAGTACAGATGGAAGTGTTACTGCGTTGCTCCTTTCTGTTGGATCTCAAAACATATATGGAAATTGTCAAAACTTGTTAATATGGCGACTGAATGACAGACAGATTTTACTGCACATATCCCAGGCTGGAACGCACAAAGAAACTGGAAACCAGACCAGAACAACATGCTCAAACATGGGGCAAAAGGAGAAAAGAAGAGACGACATACAGCACCAACTTATTTAGTAGTGCTCATCATAATGTTTCTTAATTACATTTGTCCTGCAGGGAATCATCCGATTTCATTATGCAATAAATTTCAGACTGATAATAAAAAAAAATTAAAAATAATAGTATATGTGCCTTTTTGGCACATATACTATTTTATTCATGAAGTGTTTCAATAAATGCTTTGATTTCTGTAAAATGATTTAAGATTCTACTGAGTTTTGTAATGTGCAAAAAAATAAAATAAAATAAAATATCACAACGAGCATAAATTAGAAGCTGAATAAATTGGAGCTGAAGAACATGGAGCCATCCCTGATGAATATTCACATATAAAATAATACAAACTGTGAAAATATTAACTTGAGAAAAATAAGCGGGTTTGTGTTAACAGTTTTTGTGCCTGCGGCACCAAGACTTTTTGAGCACATTGCTCATTCTCGTTATCCTTCAGCAAAGCCTGATTTGAAACTGCCCGGTTGTTTGTGTCTCTGTGTTGCCCTCAGGTTTGATTTGCGTCCTTTTCAGGGTGAAATCCTGCTTCTCTCTCGCCGACGAGGGCTTCCGACTCCAGCTAGCACCCTGCAGCTTTTAGATACATCCATGCTCCAACACGCCTGATAAATTGCTCATTACCAGACCTTTACCAAACTTGGTATGGTGAAGAGGTACTTCAATCATCAGATACATCAGTGGCGGAGCAGAGAAGTGTCTTATCTTGTCTAAAAATCACAAAGAAGCACTGCAAACAATGAGATCCGGCAAGCATGAAACTGGAGAAAACCCAGCAGGAGTCTCACCCGGCATATCAAACACGTCCTCCGTTCTGGGGGTGTTTTCAGATAGACTATAATCACACTGCAGCTCACCTGTAGAAGTCCTGAGTCTAGAACAAAAGCAAAAATGAAGCAAGTACCTGGGGAAGCATCAACCCACGCACCCCGAGGCAGAACACCTGTGGCTGTCCTGTTGAGGTATTCTGCACCGCCAGCACTTCTACTGATTTGATTTTTTAATTATTATTATTATTGTGTTTAGTAGTCCACTAAAACGTCCTAATAAAACCCACATGGTCGTGGGTGATACTTTGTCACTGCACTTTGTTTACAGAGAGAGACACGGTATTGATGATGCTATTATACTGTAATTTTGCACGTGGGGTTACGTTTTTGAAGTGAGCAGAGCTCATGCTTGCTTGTTTTTATTGATTTTTTTCCTCAGAAACCAACAGTAATCTGTCCCAGGTCATACATCTCAAACTGTGCTGCTGTGCTGAGGTCTCGTCATAATTACGATTGCAGAATTATGACTGCGGTGTTGCGCAGCACTAATCGCCATGCGCCAGTTTTATTGCGCCGCTCATGAGGATGCAGTCAGGTGTGAGTGCAACTCAGAATGATTTGTGTTTTTTTTTTGTTTTTTTTCCAAATATGAACCATCGACAAAGAGATTTATTGCTGCCTTTTGCGATGAATGCCATCGGTCCAAATTATTTGATCCCCCTCTTTCCTCTTCATTCAGGTAAGAATTGAAGTTAGTCACATGTTGATATGAAGGATCAAGCAGGAATGCAAAACTAGGAGCTCCACATAATCTACAGCTCATATTTTCTTGAAACTTGGAGCTCACTTTTCCAAAAAGTTTCCAGGAGCTTACCGGGTACATTCTTGGCACCTTTACTGTACCCGGTGCGTATTTTCCTGAAGCTGAAGAACCAAGCAGTGTTATGAGGGGAATGTTTCCAGAAAAGCACCTGGTAAGTTCTAGGAAAATTCTCCATCTACTTCTCTTTTGCGTTTTGGAAGCCGATCTCTATATTCTGGAACAGTCCCAACAATGTTCCAGAAAAACATTGAGCTCTTTAAACTCAGTCAGTAAGTAAGAAGTTTCAGGAAAGTAACCCTCTGAGTTTCATACATCTACTATAAAGTTTTAAGATGATGTAGGTTTTTATCACAGCTGACACAAGGTTGTATGAGGCCATAAGTAGAATTTGACTCGGCGCCCTTCTTCTTGTTAAGAACATACGCACCACTAGCGTTTCAATACAGATCTGTTGAAATCTGGGAGAGCTGGGCAAGTTTCATTGACAAAGCTTAAAAGTGATAATTGGTTATTATGTGATGAGATGAACAAACTGAGCTCAAACATAAAGAAAAGACACACAATCCAATATTCCTTAGCGTTAGAAGTCATGATGCTAAATCTATCCCAAAGAGTTTAACTACAGTTCTCGAAATTGTTCTACATTGCTACCGACTCAACGTCGTCATCTATCTTTTTATTACCCAACAACAGAAGGATGGTCTCACACGACAAGAATGTATACAAGTCTTTTGTGTGAAGGAAGGAACTGTGGTAAATCCAATTTTAATGGGGTGCAGCAGAATATGCTTTCCTCTTTCCTGTTTTCAGCATCATCAGTTGTCGTCATCATCCAACTCAAATCTATAAATTGTGACGATTGCCCATCAAAGCTGCTCCTGTAGTTTTTGATTTAACCTCCATCTCTCACTAATTCACACTGCTGCGCCGTACGCTCCATGTGGCACAGTCGGTGCCAGATTGTAAGAGTTGGTACTGGAACGAATGCGGACAAACCCAGAGATCCACATTTAACATCTCTAGAAACAACATCTTTCTATCAGTCCTACTCTGCTTAATTTGCTCCTTCACTGCCTTCTCTTGCTGCCTCATTGTGCCTTGCTTCTGCCGCCGTTTGACAAAATCACTTCAATGTCGTTACAAAAAAACAACAAAAAAAAACATTTGGGAAAAGAGCATACATCTGGAACGGAAAACAAGAGCACAAGACATCGAAGCTTCCTTCTGATAAACTAACCGTATTAACATGGCTATAATATGTTTTTATGCCTTTCAAAACATTAGGAGCGAGATCAATCTTCCAGTGTAATAATGGAGCATCTGATTGAAACTCGCAGTACCTCGCTATATTCACAGGCAGCTTGTGCTTTCGGCTCTGCCCTGTGGGAGTTTATAGCTACAAATCAAAACCAATGCAGGCCGTAGAAAGAGGTAAGGCCAGAGCAGGGAGAGCAGATGAAGCGATGTCAAGCTGGGGAGGTTTGAGAGCTACAGGTGCCGGGGGCTAGCAGGGAGCTAGCTCTTTGTTTACCAGTGTAACTCTGACAACTGCTGCAAGCAAGAGACATTTAACATGAACTTTCTTGTTTACAAAAAGTTGTCGACTTTCTCCACACCGTGTCACGTTGTGACTGTGGTCTGCGATGTGTTTACGTCAGATTTAATGTGATGGAACAACACAGAGTAGCCCATTATTCAGAAGTGGACTAAGTCTAATAATCTCTCAAGAGTCTATGATTTTGTTTTGTTTTTTTAGAAACATTTTTTGTTAAAATTAATATAAAATTAATATTCACAGTGTTTTTGGTGTATTTTCCCACTGAAAACCCCCCAATTCTTCTTTGTAAAATAGCTTGACCTCAGTTGGATTATATGGAGAGTGTCAGTAATGTTTCAGTCTTGCTACAGATTTTCAATTGAGCTCAGGTCTGGACTTTGACTGGGCCACCCTACCACATAAAAATGCTTTACTTTAAGCCCTCCCACTGCAACTCTAGTTGTTTTCCAGCTGGTAAGTGATCCTCCATCCCAACCTCAAGTTTTTAGCAGCCTTAAAATTATTTATTTACTTAACAGGATTTATAGGATTGTCTCAGCTTTTTTTTTTGTTGTTGTTTTTTTTTGTTTAAGCCTGCAATTGTATATTAGGGTTGAATAAGCTTCTAATTTATAAATATATATATATATATATATATATGCATGTATAAATATCTTCTCCATGTTGAATATATTTTAAATGGTCAAGTCTTATACTGAGTCTCAATCTAACACTTTAGTAGAGTTTG